AAAGTCGTAAAATTACAAGAATAAAGTTGTACAAGACTTTTTTCTCTTTTTTTTTTTTACAGCACTCGTTTATTTATTTATCGTTTTCCATGAGTCGGATCCACAACGCGACCTGTCAATCAATCCAGTGGGCGTGTCAGCAAATGACCAACCCGAAGCTAAATGCTCCCATAAGTGAGTTACTGGGTCTCTTCAGTCTCTTTCTGGAATATTTATCGAAGACCTCCAACAGCGCTGCACGCACACAGTTTCGATCACTGAGCGCTGTTTTCAAATGGAACCAAAAACGAAAGTCATGACGTAATGACGTCACATATCCCAGAAGCAGAATACAAAAACGCAACAGTAGGCGGCAGTATTGGAACACGTTTTGAGTTGGAGCGTCAATAAAGTTTAACAAACATTTTTCATTTCACCAGTTAAAATGCGGTAAACTGCTTTATCGCGTTGGGAGTTCGGATAATGTTACGACTCGTTTAGCTTCGGATTGGTCATTTGCGGACACGCCCATTGGATTGATTGGCAGTGACACAGTGAATTTGACTCGAGGGAAAAAAAAATTACGACAGCTGTAAAAAAAAAAAAAAAAAAAAAAAAAAAAAAGAGTCTCATACGACTTTATTCTTCTAATTTTATGGTTTTTAATTATTTTTTTGTCTTGGAGTGGCCCTAAAGCTCCGTCGTAAGTTAAATTGTTCTTACTTACATTTGTGTTTTGGCAGCTTGTCTCTGGGCTTTGCGTTCTTTCCTCTTCTGGTCAGGGGGCTTGGCAAAGACAATTTCGATGTGCTCTCCTTCGAGGTCTTTGCCATTAAACTCAGCTAACGCCTGTTGGAAATAAAAACGTTTCTTAGATGCTTTTCCTGCTATCAAAAATCCAAGTTACTTTGATTACATTTGTTCGTTTTGTACTCATTTTCCTACAGACCTTGACAGCAGCATCTCTTTCTTCAAAGTGAATGAAGGCGTAGTCTTTCAGTTTTTTCACTCTCTCCAGCTTGCCAAACTGACTAAATGTTTTTTCAAGCGTTTCCTCTGTAACGGTGCTTGCTAAGTTCCTCACAAACAGCACCTTGACCTGGGGAGAAGAGAAAGTTCAGACATTTTCTTTTCAAACGAGACAGTAAAGAGTGATATAGCAGCAAATGTCCTTACCTTAGCCATGACTTCTGGGTCTGGGTCCTCAATAGGGTCAGCCCACTCCACAGTGACCACATTTCCCCACACCTTCACCTTGCCACTCATCAGGCGGCGGCGAGCCTGAGCTGCCGTCTTATGGTCTTCATACTCCAGGAAGCAAAAGCCTCGATTCTTTTTTTTGTCATCTGGCTGGTGGTATAATATGACATCATTTAGACCCTCTATTAGGACAAAATAAAAAAAGGGAAACAGGTTGAGAAAGAGAAGCACAATTGTTTTGGAGAAAACAAACATCAAAACATCATTCTTTGAAAACGTATAGCTAAATAATCTGATAAGCTTTTAGCATTGAAAGCTCTTCGGTTTAAATTTAGATAAATAGCTAAGTTCACAGCACGGGCAAAACTTGAGATACAAGTTTGTTTAAGCTAATACTTAACATGAGCTTCAAAAGAATAATTTGAAAGATTTATTTTAATTTGCATCCAGCTGGATACAATTAACAGAACCCTGCAATAACAATCACTAAAATGTAGAAACAGAGACCAAAAATATAAAGCAAACTTGAAACAACCAAAGGGTAGTACCAGTACTAACTCACCTGTAACCTTTGCAAATTCTTCAACAATTTGCTCTTTTGTTTTACTCTTGGGGATGGAACCAACAAACAGTCTATTATTGGCCACAGAGATGCATACGCCAATGTGTTTACCTGGTCGAATTTCATTGTTGTTGCACTGTGGATGAACAGAAATCAATCTAAATAAAGAACAAGCTGGTATTGTCAAGCTTGTATCTATTTGTGATCATGTTAAATCCGTATTAACCAACAAATATTTGAACGTATATATCTGTATGTGTGAAATGGATGGCACATTATTAATGTACAATACGGTGCCTGATTAACTTCAAACGGTCTTTTTGGTCATCCTTGCAATAGAGCAGACATACCAGTTTAACAGCCTGCTGTGCAGCTTCCTTCGTGCAGTAAGTGATAAAGGCGTAGCCTCTATTAAGACCACTCAGAGGATCCATCATCAGGCGCAAGTCCCAGATGGGGCCAGCTTTCTCAAACAATGGAACCAGCTCATCCTCAAAAAGATCTCTTGGGATTTTACCTACAAATATCTATTAAAGTGGAAAAAAATAAATATGGAGCGTTGAAAATTTTGTTCATTTCAAAATGTAAACTAAAAATGAACATTTTATCAAAAAGTATCTAATCAGATCTAAGCATTCAGCTTCACTGTAACCTTGGTTACTACAGACAACAGGTTCATCATTCAGAAACCATAACCGAATGCATGGAGTATACATTAAAAAATAATTTGAAGACTTTTCTCCCCCCATAAACACAAATCAACAACTTGTTTTGTACCTCTGTACCGATGGTGGGCTGGCCCCCTGAGTGAGCGGACTCTGGTGGAGGACCACCATACTTCCTCTGTCCTGTTGTCACATCAAGTGTGTAGCCAGTCCTCTCCAGCAAAGCCTGGAAAAGAAAAGTATGCTATTAGTATTTTTTTTTTCTTCGAGATCCATATTTAGTTCTAAAAATAAATACATAGTTCAGTTAAAAATCAGATGCTTGCAAAAAATGTCTCATTATACAAGCTCTTTAATTTAATAATTAAAACTGTCTATTCTTACTTTGATTTTGGCTTCATCTGGTCCTTTATTGGTATCCGACACTTTGGTCCCTTGTTTCTCTCTCTGTCTGTATGTCTTCATCACGCCACAAAGAAAGGCACTTTTGTTCTGTAAGAAAAACAAATTTTTAGGTATCATCAAACACACACAAAACATTTTCTTCTCAGTGATCAGATATCATCTCTGAAAAAAAAAAAAAAATACCCTGCAATGCCTACCTGAACATGTGAGAGGTCACTGTCCTTGAATTGCAAAAGGACTTGGAGAGCACCTTCTTCGTTGAATTCTTTCAGGGCTTCGATCGCTCGGTCGTCTAAATCACTGTGAGACACCAAACCTGGGGGTTGGACAAAAAAAAAATAATTTAAAAAAGAGCTAACAACAGATATCATTTAGGTATTTTTTGTTTTTACTTGTGATAGACATAAAAGAATCAATTATTTTCATGCAGATTACGTTTTTCTATACATAGATGAGTTGAGAAAGAAAAATGTGGTGGGGGAGGGTGTACCATAGATCCATTAAATGAAACCAAATTCACTTAACAGGCTGTGTTTTACGTTTTCAACCATTACAGTCCAGTAGAAATAACAACAGATGTGACAGTGCAACATGATCTGCCAGTGCCCCTCTGTACTGAGGTTTGGGAGTTTTGAAATGAACTAGTCTACAATTTCCTGGACGGAGGGGCCATCACCTGTCTGGGGCAGCCACATACTGTACAGCTCCTGCCATTGTTTCTGCTTCAGCCCCATCTGGCTCAAAGGCCAGACCAGATGTTGTAAGGATGTGACAAAGAACCCAATAATATGTATAAAGCAGCAATCTTTAACAATATGCTCAAGTTCAGAGAGGGATAATACAAAAGCATATTTACTCAACGATCATTAAGATGCTGAATACTTATAAGAAATGAATGACAAGCCTTAATAGGTTTATCAAAACACTACAGATGATAGACAGTTTGTTCCACAAGACACCATGTTGGGGACGCAAATTCTGTAATTTGTTTAAACCTTTTTAAATTTCACATCGATACATAATTTTGAAGCACTGCAGTACCCATTTTGTTTGGAAACCACAAAAAGTTGCTTCAATATCTCAATTCCCCATTCAGAAATGTAATAAAAATGACAACACATGCATGGATTTACACAGAAAAAAGCTGCATATTTTGGATATGCAAGTGTATTGATAATACCTTACCTGCTATGTAAATTTCATCTAGTTTTTCAGCAACTTTCTGTGGTAAACCAGCTTCTAATAAAGTCTGGAAGTGCTCAGAATGGGTAACTGCAGCGGAGGTGTCCATTGGCTCTTCTGGACCATTTCCATTTATATGCTCTGTGGCCATGTCTCCAGAAATCTGTATAAATGCAATGAGCCAAATTAATCCAGAGTCAAGGGCAAGACTTTGGAAGTGTTCAAGAGTGTAAAGTCTCAGACTCGTGAGCAAAAACATTCTGAAAATCAACTATTACAAAATAAACAAAAAAATATTTGAACATATATATCATCTGGTGTAATTTGCAGTCCAAATGGTTACACAGATTATACTGATATGAGCAAAACAAACAGTACTGTGGCCCTTTAGTCTGGATTTTTTTTTTTTTTCAAAATCTTGACATTACTAGCAACTTTCAGCTTGCATGAAGCCCCAAACTTGGATACAGACACACAAACACTGTACACAAAACAGACGATGCACAAACAAAACAGTCCACAAATCGAAGTTGTATATTCCAAAAACAAACAAACTGCATTTTGTGGTGTTTTCCATCTTTCTCTAACTCCTGGTCCTCAGTCGCTGCCTTGTCTGTTATATTCTCTTAATTGCATGTTAGCTACCCTCCCAGTGCTGACTTCAGCACAGACTAGATAGCTGATATACGTGTTCAGAGTGAGTACTGGTTTCCACTGAGTGACAAGTTAGAATGCACCCTTTGGTATTAATTTGTTGACACTTTAGTTAGCAAATATCACCTCAAAAAACTGAATACTCCATTTATATAACGATACCTGCCCATTGCAACTCCCATTCTTTTGTTTTTATTGCTAGCAACCCTAATGTTCTTAGCAGATCAGAAAAAAACAGTTTGTTCCCATTCATAATCCAACCATTCCTCGGCAAAATATGGACAATTTTATGTTTTGATCAACACTACTTTTGCCTCTATATTGTCCTAATGAGGAGTCCATTGATCTATGCCTGCTAATCAATTTTATAAACACGTGCTTTTCTGTGGTTAAGAGATTGCTGCTAGTTACACATAAGCAACTAGCTTACATATCAATCAATGCTCATTTTTTTACTGTGGGACGTCTTTAAAATGATTTGAAACGTATTTTCTTTTACCCCTATATGTTAGTCAGATTAAATTTAGCGGGGTCACAAACGATGTTAGCCAGCTAGCCGGCTAATGTACACGGCTAATGGTACATTATCCGGACAATAACATGAAACTACAGTATGCATTTGCTGGAAGTACCGTTGTTGTTAATATTGTAGAAAGAGGACATGATTGTTCGTACAATAGTAAGACATGATCGCCAGTCTCGTCTAATATCTCAGGCTTGCCTGGTTCTATTAGCACAAAATGACAATGAGCATGTCAGTTCCACGATCTGTCAAAGTGAGCTAGCTAGAGCTAGCATGCTAATTTGAACGGTGTCAGTGAGGCCATTGTTAGAGCGTCATTTTTCGGCACAGTCTTTACCAAGTACAACGCTCGACATTAACATTTAATCGGATTCAACAAGGCCTTAATAGCTAAAACTTTAGCCTGCTATATGCGTGGCTCGTCAACGTGCCGCCACATAGGAAGAGTCCATTTTCAAAAAGCCGGTCTGGAGAACTAAACCATCACCAGCTTTCCACATTGTTTGAAACAGCGCCGCACGACTCGGAGTTTTTAGCGCCTAACAAAGCGACATCTACGTGACTAATTAGAAGCATTCGGCCTACCTGCCGCAGGCACACCGACGTGTATGGTGCTGATAACACGGGAAGATAAATGTGATGTTTAAAAGAGAGAAAAAGTGTAAAACTCCCGGCACGGGTCCGACTTCAGTCATTCACTGTTGATGATGTAAAATGGCTGCCACGTTCACGCCTCGAGTTTTGTCTAGTCTATGGGGTTTCTCGGACAGAGCTGCACGGGCTTGCCTTGTATGCATTTTAAAGCGGAGCGGCGGGTCAGCTGCAGCATGCATCATATGCGCACGTGTGAAGCGTTTTACAAAGAAACACTTTATTTAACCACCATGGTGGTTTACTAGAACAGCCGAAATGTGGTTTATTCAAGGAAACGAGCGATGCGAACTTCTTTGTTAGCCACACAAAGAAGTTAGGTTTGAAAATTTCACGATACCAATACAGATGAATGGCCTTCAAGCACGGGGGGAGGGGGGTGTTAGTCAGGGAATGACCTAGTTTTATCCTAGAAGTGTATTTAAAACACATAAACACGAAAAATGAGAGAGATGGCAGAAAATGGAAAAAATAAATAAATTGCACGTGCAAAAATTATAAATTGATCAAACTGGTGTGCAGATCTGTTTGCATATATTTATTTCAAACAACAAATCAAGGCACGGTGCAGCATGCATCTTCAAAGCCACAGAATGATTTTAGATGCACAAAATGATTTAATACAACGAAAAGGAGCACAGAAATATATACAGCAATAAACGTAAAAAAGTGAAATAAATTTAGGAATGGCCTAAACGAGATGCAGAAACCTGGCCTTGATGAATTAATGGGGCAAGGTGGTGACAGCAGTTTGTCAGACAAATACAAGTTAAGTCATGTGACTGCTTTAAATTTAGCATTCAAGTGAATATTGTATTTTTTCAGACCTATAGTGTGTTGCATTCTGTCTCTCACATGCGTCACCTCTTGTGACCCTGAACACAAATGGATCATATGGATGGACAGTGGTATGAGATTCATACGAGGAACTAAGTTTGCAAAATAAAGCAATCATAAGCCTCTAATATGTTTAAAGATTATGTCAAATGCAAACCATATAGGCTAAGTATGGTGAGATCTGTGAATCTTGTGCTGTGTTTGGTTCTTGATGGGGTGAGCAGAGGTCCTGTCGTTTCATAATTCATATCTCTAACACATTCAGTAAACAAGTGTACACTTTTTTTTGAGTGTGTCATGAAATATGTGTTTATATGGATTTTAAGTTGAAGTGGAACCACAATCATTTGAGCATGTTTGGAGGTTGCAAAGTAAATCCCATGTTCCACCACACTGTGTCACTCCTCTCACACTGCTGCACTCCTGTCTCCATGAAAAAAAATATATGTATTGTGTGTGTTTGGTATTTATGTTTGATTAAAAAAAAAAAAAAAAAAGCTGAAATACCTTATTTTTGTGTGAAATTCTGGTCATCTTGTCGAAGCCTAAATTTTGAATATATTATTTTCTTTTCTTGATCAGTATTTGTGCACTGGATGTAAATCTAACATGTAGTCAAAGCAGTGGCTCGTTTCAGCTATCTTTGCTCAGATGTGTGAAACTACTCTATTTTTTTTATTTATTCAGTTTAAACCCTGGATCTCTGGATATTTAGCAGGAGTTAAAAGTTATTGCTGATCCTCTTGGGGTGTCAAACAAACTCCATTACAAAATGGGGCCAAAAATCAAAACTTGGTTTAAACCAAGGGTCAGTTTCAGACACATCGTTTCTTGGTCACAGTTTCCTCAGCAAGAGTTTGATCAGTGTCATTTCATGTTTTCTGTTGCTCTTTTCCGCAGCAAAATCAAAGATTGCTGAAAATCTGAAACATTTCCATTGGCATCAAATTTGGCCAAAGGTCATGACAACTAAAGTCTGCTCGGTTTGTCAGCAAAATGACAAGCGATAAAAGTAGTTTACATTTAAAATATCACCTTGGGGCCAGATAAGATGTTAATAAGGGCCGTATTTGGCCCTAGGGTGGAACGGTCGTTCGCTGCAAAGACTGATCTAATATTCACAACCTAACATTCCTCAAAGGAACGTATATTGCTCACTGCCTTTCATGTCAGCGTTTTAGTTGCTCATTATTTTATAAAGAGAAATGATGGAGTTGTTCCCAGTTTTGTCAAATCTTGGGAAAAAGTTATGCACAACTTCATGCATTATGAGACATTATGCAGTTTGGGGTGACTCTCAGCTACAACCACACTTTTTAGCTCAATATTTGTAAAAATCGATTCAGTTAAACATATTGTTGATGGGTAATGTCAACACCTATATCAGCCATCTTGAATTGTGCTGAGCATGTCACAATGTTAAAGTTTTAAGAAAAACCTTTCCTAATGCGTAGCTCTTCATGTTGTAAATCACTCTCAGCTACTAAAATTTAAAATTTTACAACAAAATCTTTAAAATCAACAGAGTTATAGTCATTTTTGTGTTTATTAAGGTCACTTGTGGCCAACTTGAATCAGTTTGGCTCCAAAAGTTAATCAGTTATAGAGCTACATCCACTGGTCATTTCCTGAAAGTTTTATTATAATTTACCCAGGGGTTCACAAGATATTTTGCTAACAGACAGGCAGTCCTATTTCGGCCCATGGTCTTGGAATGATCTGCAGCTTAAGCTGAGGTTGGAGTCTTTTATTCCTTTATATAGTGGTAGTTTTAGGCAACAACTGTCAGAGGTTTTAGTCACATCTTGCACCTGTAATGTTTAAGTCTTAAATTGTGATATTTTTTAAACTTGCATTGTATTTTATGGCTTATTACCGGATTTTGTTGTACCTGGTAAACATTTTAATACTACTGTTACTGTTATTAAGACTGTTGCTGTATTTGTAATGGCTTATTTGCATCTTGAGATTAATCATCTCAATGGATTTCTTTCCTTGTAAAATAAAGTTAAAAAAAAAAAAAAAAAAAACTGTGTCGACACCAAATAGTTAATGGGGATTTTTTAAAATAAGATCCAGCACATTCTGCTAGCCTTCACAATATATGTTGTGTATCAGTCTCAGCTACTTTAATCAATATCTGTAAATCTGAGTTACAACCATTTTAGTCTTTTTCAGGTCAGTTGGCTGTGGCAGCCATCTTGAATCAGACTTCAAACATTGATCAGTTCTAGATACTTTGTGCAAACTATAATACAAAATAGAGAAGCAATAGTCGGAGCTTGTGCTGTTGAGGGTGGGATGTAGGTCAAAGTTGTGTACGCATTTTGGGTTAAAATCCTCATTGTTGTTAACACAGATCCGTTTCCTGGAGGACATGTCAGGCCAGAACATGGTTTAAGGATCTGGCCTTATTAATGAACCTACAGGGGATTAGAAACTTAGCAACACACTTTGTTTTATAAAACGAGCCAATAGTGAAGCAGGTCAGCAAGCTGAGCCTCATAGTGTTATTGTTTAATAAACTTTTAATGAACTCTTTAATGAAATTCAATTCTTTTACGGGCAATAAGAAAACATGAACATATTTTATACCTTTAATGTTCAATATATGAGCACAGTGTTATAATCGTTATCAAAATGACAATTTAAAATAATTTCACAGTGTTGATAAATCCTTTAAAATAAAAGCAAAAGTCGACCAGTCAGCGACTGAACCCTCCCGCCCACACGTTTCAGGTCGAGGATTTATCACCAGCACAACCAAGGACACAGAACGTGGGCCCTAAAGTGAAGTCATGAATAAAACCTAAAATAAATTTATATTCATCCTTGACATTTCACGTGTTGGCGGTGAACAGACGCAAACAACTATCGGATATATCTCTTCTATTATTCATAGTTCTTCTCATTTTGTTTATGCCAGATTTGAAATAAATAGAGACAAAAATTGAGAAAAAAACCAAACACAACACTAACGTGACGTACATTCACCAAGCTGTTGTTTTGGTGAGCTTGTTCAATGCAACAATAATAATTTTCATCAGAGTTTGATGTATTAAATCTTCCCCGGCTCATCCCTTGAGGGATGTTCAGCCCTGGTGAGACCATTATGATCTACGGTAATCAAAAGTGAGCTTTTATAGTTTTGAAAGCACTTAGAGCAAGGACATGTCTAGATTCAACCCCTCAGTTCAATTCTGAGACACTATGGACATTTGTTGAGATATTTGTTTCACAGTCAGACTTTTGCTTATTTTTATCTAATCACCTGTCAGCTTAAATAATGATGCACTTTTGTTCTGTATAAACATCAAATGTGAAAGTACAGAGGCAGAAAAGGTGGCTAAAGCTTTTTTTTTTTTTTTTTTACAATACGCTTCTTTGGTTACTAAACAAAACAGCACAAAGCTAACAAACACATTTAAATTGGAAGGAAGAGGGTGTGTCACACCACTCTTACAGTGATGATGTTATGGCACTGGTTCTGCAACACAGGGGTGATAAATATACAGACTACATAAAAGGAACCTGGTGTGTTATCTCATAAGTATACCCTGTAAGTACAATGCTGTATTACATATAGCTACGCATATAATTTATTGCATAATGGCACCAATGTTAAAGGTTTACAAGCATTTTTTTGATACCTTCAGGGTACTTTTGGAGATACTTTTTGGGTTATGTACAAGGTATTTACAGGATAATGTTGGGCACTTATAGGGTATTGCAATTAACTACCCAGTGCTACACATTAAGTACATTTTAATTAACTTGTAATTTACCCCTCAACTATCCTGTAAATATGCATCTTTGTAAGTACCCTGTAGAGCTCATCATAGCACAGAAACAGCCCTAGTAAAAGTCACTAATAATATTCTCAAGGCCTCAGACAATGGACTTGTGTCTATACTGGTCCTGTTAGACCTCAGTGCTGCATTTGATACAGTTGATCACAATATTCTGAGATTAAAATGGGATTACAGGAATGTCTTTAGAATGTTTTAAATCATATTTATCTGATAGATTCCAATTTGTAAATGTAAAAAATGTATCTTTTTCATACACCAAAGTTAGTCATGGAGTTCCACAGGGTTCAGTGCTTGGACCAATACTCTTTACCTTATATATGCTTCCATTAGTTCCATGTTGTTAAACAGCATGGGATAAATTTCCATTGTTATGCTAGTGATGCACAGTTATATTTATCCATGAAA